CATGGGGAAGAGTCCTCTTCTCCGACGAGAGCCGTTACTGTATCTCAACAGCAGATGGCAGAGAGAGTCTTGCGACGCCGTGGGGAACGTTTTTCGGATGCTTGTGTTGTTGAGAGAGACTCGTGGGGTGGTCCGAGCATCATGGTATGGGGTGGAATTGGTCATGCACAGAGCGTCGGCCCTGTGGTCTTCCAGGACATCGGTCCAGGGAGAGGCAATGGTGACCACACGCCATACCTCATTTGGCACGTCGCCGCAAACACGAGTTTCAGCATGATAACGCCCGTGTCCACACTGCGAGAGCAGCAAAAGACTTCCTCCAGCAGAATGGCATCAGAACCCTGCAGTGGCCTCCCCTCAGTCCCGATTTAAATCCCATTGGGCACCTGTGGGACGAGATTCAAAGACGGCTGAATGACGTCCGACCAAGGCCGACAACTTCAGCTGAACTGCGTCAGGCGTTCCTCAGAGTGTGGGCTCAAGTGCCTATGGCCTTCATCAACCGCCTCATCCATTCCATGTATCGACGCTGCACGGCAGTCATCAATGTACATGGCAGACACACGAGATACTGACTTGTGATGCCATTTTCTCAGAGACTAGTGTTTGGTTTCACTTTAAGAACATTTGACACCTTGATGATCAGGTTTGCCAAGTTTAATCTTTTTAATATGTCTCAAAGGATGTTTACAGTGTTTGGACAAAGAAAGTTTCTCATATATCAATCCATGGTGACGTTTCTTTTGCGGTTCAGTATATAACAACGGAAAAACAAATGTGGTTTTCAAAAAAGACACCTCTGACATTATGAAAACATAAAAACTGCATTTCCATTTCCGAGCCCCAAGATGTCCCAAATATGCTCCAGTGGGTTCAGGTCAGGACTATTGCAGGCTATGGTAGTGTCGCCACAGCGTCATTCTGGAGAAAAAACTGTTAATGCTCGGGAACGATGTGGCCTAGCATTGGCATCCATGTGCAAAGGTCGGTTTGCGAGTGGGTGGTTGTCGAAATGCGACACAACAACCAGTTGCAGGACGTTATTAATGTACCAATCACCATTGAGGTTGCCTTGAATGGTGACAAGAGCCAGCTTACAATCGTGTGACAGGCACCCCCAAGGTCATAATTCGGGTCAAACGGGGTCATAATTAGGTCTGTTCCTGTGTGTGTAGGTCGTATTTTTATGTCCCCAGCCGCTCAATCGGACATCCGTGAACCTGCTCTCATCGGACCAATAGACTCTTCGCCAAGTCCTCAGATTCCAAGTTCTCCAAACGCCATGCCAAACGAATTATCCGATGATGATCATCAAGGAAGGAACGCTTGTTTACCCTTCTGGACTTCATTCTCACCGATTTCAGTCGATTCCCCACTATTTTGGTTGACATCCGTCTATTGGGTAACCACTGGCGCTTCAGAACAGAAGATGTTGCAAATGGTTGACGACGTACAAGCCGAAGCAGGGCCATATCCTCACGCCTTGACGTCATGCGAGGTCTTCCTAACCGTTGGGGATCCTGTAAACATTGGTTTTTCCCGTGTTTTGTACCAATCCGCTATTACAGTAAAATGCTGCATCAGTTGACGTCCCATGCTTTTGTCAATCAATCAATCAATTTATTCGGTAATAAGGCCTCACGCCCACGTAATACAATTTAGTTTCACATCAAATAGTATTTACAGGTAAGAAGAACGAAGACAGATAGCATCTTTAACATAATTGGCTCAAGACAAGTTTACATCAGAAGATTTTTAACATTCTAACTAGTTTATCTTTATGATTATAACCAGTAATAAAGTCTATATATGTAAATTATTATTTTGAGCGAATACCTTCATAAATAGGGCAAACAAGAATGAAATGAAATCTATTTTCACCTGTCCTTAACTTAACAACAGACAAACCCGGAGTGTCTTATCGATGCCATCCGGCCTTCCTGTGTTATGCACAATTCCCAGTTCTCCAATACGTAAAAGGGTGAGTATACGTCGCTTTTCTTTTGATAATACATTTAATAGATGTCTTAAATAATGAATACAATTCTAATTTCGAGGAGCATCCAGACACTTCATAATACCATGTTTGTGCATGACAGTCCTTAGCCCTCAGTATGAACTCACTTATAAAATATTTAGGATCACCAGCACCTTGAAATTCCCACACATCTCTCTTGAGAGATACTAAGAAGCTTAAACCAGTATCTTAAACATCTTGTGTAAGAATCAATATAAATACCATATCGACTACATTCTCCGAGCACTGCAACATTTGTAGAACTAGTACCCAAAAACAGATTTACAAAACTTCGCTTGGAAACGTTCGAGACACAACCATTTATGAACCTCCCAAATCTCCGAACCATATAAAATAATAGGTTAATATGTCGAAACCTTGACAGGCATATGCCCTTGTTTCCATTTCTCGTAGTTCCTTAACTTACCACCATTACGAAAAACTAAGTTATCAGTTTTATCCATGTTAATTTTTAAACCCCATTTGTTACAAAATTTGTGTAATACATCAATCTTCTTCTGTAGTTCAAGAACTGGATCTGCAAAAATACACAAGTCATCCGCATATAAGAGACGAACCAATTCCAGTTAATCCTCATGTGCGAATATTCCTCTATCACCACAGTGTTGGATGTCTTCTTCCAACTCATTTATGAATAACGAAAACAAAAAAGAACTTAAAACTCACCCTTGTCGTACACCGTTGAGACTGTTGAAATAATCTGAGATGCCACTATTTGAAATTTTAACACAAGCAAGAGATTTAGAATAAATGTCATGTATAATAGTAAATATTTTCCCATGAATTCCATTTGAATGCAGAACAAATCAAAGAACATCACTATTGATAGAGTTGAAAGCTTTCTGAAAGCTGACGGTCACACCTGTTGTATGTATACCAATTATACGCCAATAATCGCGCCTCTAATAAGCCTGTTCGATCAAATGACGTGCAGCAAGTTATCGGATGACACGTGGTCGCCGTCACGCAAATGTCTGTGCAGAGGATTTCGCATTGTCGGGGCATGTACTAAACATAAGTTTCCTGATCCAAACGGTCCCTTATCTGGGTGGCAGTTTGCGACCGACTTCTTAATGCCATCGTTCTGTCTAATCTGTCCCTGGCTGGAGTTGTTGCCCTTGGGTGTCCAGAGCAGCGTCGATCACCGGCGTTTGTGTTGGTATCGGGACCACAATCTGTCACAATTTGAGATTGAGAAACATGCAGCGTTTGTACAGCAATATCCTGACTTTTGTCATCTGCAACATGACTATGACACGTAAACGTTCAGCACGTTGTAACTGTCGCATTTAAGGCTTAAATGTGTTCAATCAAGTGTCATTCGTTTGGATCAAAGAAAACAAAATGCGTCGGTTCACAACTGAGTGAGTAACAAAACCACCTCTTGCAGGTACTGTCCGGGGTCATGCGCTTAATGACTGTTACAATTTTGTGTTGAGGTGCTTGACTTCTTCTGAAATGTTCTTGCCACATAAATCACTTACTTTCATTGCCAGACATTAGTGTATATTCCCGTAGTTTCACGGCAAAATATTCCCTTGTTTTTTTTTGCATCGTATACTATCGATATGAGTCTGATACTGACAATTACGCTGCAGAGTTAGTCCAAGATGTTTGTGTGATTTAACAGATTCAATCTTGATAATGCTCATTAATCGTTGTTAAGCTGACATCATCTTTGCTTTTCTCTTCCTAGAAAATTCTAATGACCCTTACAAAAGTTACTGTGGCGTGACAGACCAAGGGAAGACACTCTCTATCCACCCATAGACCACGGACGCGGCTTCATGGACTATACGTGCACCCATAACCTATGTAGGAATGAGTGTAATTCATGGTTGATCTTTTCAGTTTTGAGCCCGGGGTGGTGCTGACAGACACAGGATAATAAATCGGGGCGTAGTTGAGATTCGAAACCATGACCATATTTTTGCTTTCTTCGTGGGTCTTTTCATGTAGTACTTGGGTTCTTCCCTGTTAAAAGTCCTGTTAAACAAAGTGCAACATCCTCCACGGGTCTTTCCTGTTAAAAGACTGCAACTATATCAATGGTCTTGGCCTGTTAAACGTGACTCCACGCGTCTTTTTCTGTTAAAACACAGTGCATCATTATCCATGCGTCCACTGTTAAACATAGTAAACTATTCTCCATTGGTATTTTTTCATGCCATAAGTAGTGCAATATTCTCCATGGGTATTTGCATTTTAAAAGTTATAGACCATTCACCATGGCCTTTGCCTCTTAAAAGTACAGAATTTCCCCTGCGTCTTTTCCTGTCAAAAGTAGTACATCATTCTCCATGGTATTTCACTGTTGAAAGTCATACAACATTCTCCGTTGGTCTTTTCCGTTTAAATGCAGTGCTACATTCCTGTATGATACAGAAAAGCATTCGCAAAGAGTCTCGAAAAACACAGTCGTAAATAAACCATCATTCATTCTACTACAAACGACCACTTGACACTTGTCATTACGGTATGTACCGTTACATTGATCAACTTATACATTTGTTGTATTTAATGAAGTAGCAAATGTACCCACGCGTGACCTACTGCGATGTTAACACGTTTAGGCGAGACCTGAACCACAAAACCATATCAAAAGTGTCATCCTTGTGCTACATGTCCTATGAGTGACACCCTATTATTTTGCACGCTTCAACGATCATACATTTTCAAGAAGCCTGAAGCGAAAATATCTCATTTACATTTTCTGTCGGAATACAATTTAAACATCTAAATGAAAGTAACATACATATGTTACTTTTTGCATTTGAAAATACATTAAGATCAATTTGAAAATTTAAGATACCAGCAATTCCGATGTTACTTTTATTCCTTTGCCATATCTATATGGTATAATGTATTGCCCCTCAAACATATCACGGTGAGTAAATCAAGTTTTGACAACTTTGTGATCACATTGCCTAAATGTTGACCCTGAGAAGACACGTTTGACAAACTGTCTCGCCTCAGCCTTCCACGGGAGGCTATCCCATCAGTTGTATCCGAAGCACGCGCAGTGGTAATTTTGCAGTTCCAGCACAAGTAATCTGGTCAATGCTGAAATGTATATCACAGACCAGATACGTAAGTAAGATCGTATTTATACCTTTATCATTTATGTTTGTTGATTTTAAGGTTGTACAAAATCGGATGTCCGTCACAATCGTAGGTAGTTTCAGCAGCTTCAGCTGACATACATCAACACTTATCCATTAAATGATAAATATATATAACAGGTATTTTAGTTTTGAACATATTGACTTACAGTGGTGAAATATTTGGGTACAAATTAATCTACTAAGAACCTTTCCTTAATAAACATCCACTTACAATATCTTTACACCGTAAACATGTTTTTAGATCTTAAACACAAACCTAAGCGCGTGCCTACGTTGACGCATTTAGAGTCTGAACATGCTTAAGATTGTGCTTGATATCTAAACGTGGGAAAGACCCGTATTCACCCACCTTCCTCCTTTTGGTTAATTGTAGATAATTTATAAAAGGGGCGCGTGTTACAACATTAAAAGTCCTCATTAAAACTTTTCAAAAAGTTTAATGGCAGACACAATTTCCAAATTTGTCGTTTCCGAGACAAAAATGATGGCCGATGCAATTCCCTGTTTTGTACGAAAGCCTAATAGTGCCACTTTGGTTGCATAATTATATATTTTTTTTATCGAGATTACTTTTTGTCTCTATTATTTGTTGTTTTTATCTAGACATTTCGAGTTTTCTTGTTATTCGATTTATTTTCTCGTTACTTCGATTCTTTTCTTGTGATTTCAAGTATATTTCAACAACTCGAAATTTCGAATGTTTTTTCGTTATTTCAACTATTTCGAAATATTTTATATTTCTTTTTATTTCAAATTTTTGATTATTTTTTCAAAATTTCGTTTTTTTATCTCGTTACTTCGATCATATTTTCGTTATTTCAATAGTTTTCTCGTATTTCAATTTGATTTAAAAAATCGCAAATTTAGAAAATAGTCGAAATAACGATTGGTGGTGAACGTATTATTTTGGAACATAAGACTTATACAGGATGCATTTGTATTCAGTGTTATATCGATTTTATAAAAAAATATTACAATTCAGTACATGGAAGGTTTTCGGTATGTTTGATCTTCTTAAACAAGCGTTATATCTGTAAACACATCCGCGAACGCTAGAAGACTCAATTCCTGTAAGTTGATGATCTCGTGATCTGTTAAAATTGATTGATTTTTTTGTTTTATGTATTTTTGAATCTGTACTCTTTCTGAATTCGTTTCTATCATAAAGCCTATTTCTACTAATGTATTTCAGTATGCCTCGTTCATATCATAAAACGGTATGCATTCACGGTTCAACGCATTCACGGCCAATCCATCCATTTGGCGCTTGCGGTACCAGCAGCAGAATCGGTGTTCGGGTTTGCCGGGACTATGTCTGATAAATTTTAATTTGGATTACCCGGCCCTTAACCGTCGCGGCTTTGAAGGTCATCTTCAAGTAAAGATGTTGTATATATTCAAACATGTGCGGGATGTGGTGAGCATTATATTGGAGAAACTGGTATGCAACTAAAAGACCGAATCACAGTACACAGCTGACAACAAATTCGAGATCCAAATGTACGTTGTATAAATGTAAGCAAACACATTGATGAATGCGGTAGTGGTCATTTTACTGTCTGTCTTTTAAATTGTTCAATGAAAAACATTTACGAATGGAAAAAGAACAGATGTTCATTAGACTTTTGAAACCTAAACTTATTCAAAAGTATAATTTTCAAAACTTCCCCATGTAGCTCAATGTGTATTTGTGCACTCACACCATAATGTATTCATGCCTCCCACTATTATCATCAGCTATGGCGTCATATGCTTTACGACGTCAAAAGCATAACGTTGGCTGTCGCCTAGAACTACGTTTTACTTCTCCCTTTATTGTCATTATTACATCATAGGCATTGTGACGCCACAGATACCACTGTTATGCGTCGGCTAGGACTACAATTTAAGTTAAAGTTTTCATTACACCTGAAGACCCGCTGAACGGCCAAAGATCTTGTTTGGATAAAGGAGTTTATACTTATACACCTGATGAAATCACTTGTTTACACACACACACACACACACACACACACACACACACACACACACACACACACACACACACACACACACAAATCATGAATCAGGTGATCGTTTAATTTTTGCACATAACTTGACACGCCTACACAGTCAATCAACGTAGAGTAGGATCAAAACAATGTTCATTTGACCTGTCAATTACGACAGGAGGCGAAAAGAACTGCAACAGTCAAACTGTAACGAACCGGAAGAAATATGTCCGGGAGAAGGCGACTGTTTCAAATAACATGGTCAGTTACCGCCAGATTCAAACATTACTTCCCTGATTACGGTAAAACACAGTTGGAAAAATACTAGTTAGAAATGAAACCCGATGACATGAAAGTTGAAACGAGGCGTGTGGGTAAAAAACAGGCGAGCGGGCTTGCACGCTTGCTGTTTCATTCCTTCTCGGCCTTCGGCTTCAAATGGTAGTTTGGACAATGAATATGCATGGAAGTCGCTACATGTCCTGTGCATGCATGACGATACACGTGAGCAGAAAGGGAATTCCCTCGACTGTAATATTGGGATTCCCCGACATTCCGCAGTAATAAAAATAGTGCGCCTCGGTGGGCGTGGCTTACTTTTTTACATTCATTGGGAAATAAATGCAATAACAAGTGACCAATTCAGCTAATCAGAATGCAGGAATTTCAATGAACACAACGAATATATATATAAGAATTGAACGTCAGTTAAACTGTGTGAGGTTTAACCAGCGCTCTTAAATCGTTCACACTTCAATGCACCCATCCAAACTGACGTTCAATTTTTATAATTTCATACTTTGTAGTTTACTGGTTTCGCCGAATAATGTCGTAACATCTTATCTTAAATTTGAAGTACTCTGGTTTCGCCGAAGAACATTGCAACAATGTTATTTTGTCGGTTTTGCCGGTGTCAGAGAGTGGGATTTCCCCCCTAGCCTAAATTCCCCCCGGAAAGGGGGCTATATAGCCGAATTTCCCCCCGGAAAAAGGGCTATATAGCTAAATTTCCCCCGGGGAAAAATGACTACATAGCGATATTTCCGCTTTAGAGTCAGATTTTCCCCCTTAACACAAGAGGGAAGTATGACTATATAGCAGAATTTCCCCAATATCCCTCAGATTTTTCAATGCAGTATTAAAAAACATAACCTACTGCATCATTTAACAAACATTGATCAAACAGCAATGGCAAAAGCGAACTACTTGCATGCCATATTTGACAGAGAAATTGGAGTTGTCTCAATTGAAAACAAGCTTTTAGGAATCCTGTATAACAAGTTTAGTATTGAAAACGGGATTACCTAAAATTCGGGCCAAGAAAAGTCGGGCCGGTCCTGGCCAGCGGGTAATACTCAAAATGGATTGCAGAATAATAAAACGAAACGTGCATATCTTGGCAGATCTCAAATGTCCACAAACGTATAGTTTTTCTCATTTCATTGAGTTTGAATCAAAGTGCATCTTCAACAATGTAATTAACTGATAATTATGACTACATACCGTGGAGTCCTCGTAGAAAAGTCAGTGTCTTGACTGTGTGTTTTCTTTGATGAGAATGTTTCTCACCGACCTTAGCGTGTAGGGGTGTGATGTCCTGGGCAGGAAACGATAGTGTTTTGACTACTCTTCTTTCATTAATTAACGTGTTGGGCATCCCTAATAAAACCTTTACTAATTCATGTTAAACCAACACAGGATGTTTTCTGGAAGTGGATATTCGCAAATGTCATAGGGCTGACACGACGCGTGTTAAAAACTGTCCCAGCACTTCTTAAGTTCTAAACATTCTTTATATCTAAAGTTCTAAACATTCTTTATATCTAAAGAGTAGTATTATATCTAATTTTATACCACTTTATTGTCTCATATTGCGGTAGTTAAAGAAAACCAGATGCTCAAAGTGGAGCCATTTTCCCTCTACATTCTCAACATAGTCTCTATCAGAAGTGTTTTGTCTGTGTTGGGTCCGACTTGGCCCGGGCTGTCAAAATCAACTTTAAAAACACAAATGTATCATCAAATGTGTTTACATCTATAGATTAGTACTATATCTTCCAGGTATACCACTTTATAATGTCACAGTACATCGTATTTAAAGAAAACAAGGTGCTCAAAGTGAAGCCCTTTCCCTCTACATTCTCAACATAGTCTCTATCAAAAGTGTTTGTCTTGTGTTGGGTCCGACATGGCCCGGGATGTCACAATCAACTTTAAACAGACAGATGCATCATCAATTGTGTTTACATCCATAGAATAGTATTATATCTACCTAAATATCACTTAATAGTGTCTCAGATCGCGGTTTTTAAAGAAAACAAGGTGCTCAAAGTGAAGCCCTTTTTCCTCTACATTCTCAACATAGCCTCTATCAGAAGTGTTTGGATTGTGCTCGGTCCGACTTGGCCCGGGCTGTCAAAATCAACTTTAAACACACAGATGTATCATCAAATGTGTTTATATCTGTAGCTTAGTATTGTATCTGACTATAAACCACTTTATAATGTCACAGTACATCGTATTTAAAGAAAACAAGGTGCTCAAAGTGAAGCCCTTTCCCCTCTACATTCTCAACATAGTTTCTATCAAAAGTGTTTGTCTTGTGTTGGGTCCGACATGGCCCGGGATGTCACAATCAACTTTAAACAGACAGATGCATCATTAAATGTGTTTACATCCATAGAATAGTATTATATCTACCTATATACCACTTTATAATGTCAGAGTACGTCGTATTTAAAGAAAACTGGTCCGTTAAAGTCAAACACTTTTACTGTATTTTCTTAAGAAAATCTCTGTCAAAAGTGTTGGGACCGACTTGGTCCGGGCTGTCAAAATCAACTTTAAACACATAGATGTATCATCAAATGTGTTTACATCTATAGATTAGTATTTTATCTACCTATAAACCACTTTATAGTGTCTCAGTACATCGTATGTAAATAAAACTGGTCCGTTAAAGTCAAACACTTTT